GCTCCCGAAACTTCTGCAGCACCCTGCCCACCATGTTGAAGGGTGGGAATGCATATGCATGCATTCCCTCCCAATCCAGAGACAGAGCGTCCACGGCCCAAGCCCTTGGATCTGGTACCGGAGAGACAAACGTTGGCAACTGATTGTTCAGTGAAGTGGCGAACAGGTCTATGTGAGGCCTGTCCCACACCTGACAAATTCCCACGAAAATCGAGGGATTCAGTTGCCACTCTGTCAAAACCGGCTGGCGGCGCCTGGAAAGAGTATCCGCCAGAACATTCAACCTGCCTGGCAGATGCTTGACACAAATTGTCAACTGCATTTCCTGACATAGAAGCAGAATGCGGATAGCGAGGGCACACAGGGTGTGAGACCTGGTTCCCCCCTGTCTCTCCAGATACGCGACAACCGTAGTGTTGTCCGTAGCCACACAAACCACCTTGGAATGCAGGATCTCCCGAAAAGACTGCAGAGCCAACAGAACAGCCCTCATCTCGAGCACATTGCTGTGCTCCGAGAGCTGTTCCCCAGACCACTCCCCCGACTGGCAACGCCCGTCGAGATAAGCTCCCCACCCTGTCATGGATGCATCCGTGTACAGGGTCATAGTGGGAACTGGCTTGGACAAAGGAACCCCTCGGAGAACATTGTCCTGATGAGTCCACCAGCGTGCGTACTCCTTGACCGACTGGTTCAGAGGAAGCAAGGCTTCCCAATCCCTTGAAGAAGGGACCCAGTTGGCAAGGAGAAACATCTGGAGAGGCCTGATGTGAAGTCTCCCTAAGGGGACCACATCGGCCAGGGCGTTGAGATATCCCAGAAAACTGAGAAACCAACGTACCTGGACTTGAGACCGGCCGATAAAGGTCAGAGCAAAAGCCCTGGCCTTCTCGAACTTCTCCATCGGTGGAAGGGCGATGCCCTGAACCGTATTGAAACGGTTCCCCAGAAAAACAAAATCCTGAGATGGGGAAACCTCCGACTTTTCTCTGGAAGGAATGAAGCCGACCTTGAGTAAGAGTTTCAGAACCAACCGGGTGACCTGTACCAGAGACTCTCTCACTAGGTGGAGCATGAGGGAGTCGTCGAAATAGATGTGAACATCTATTCCTCGAGAGTGCAGGAATCCCACGACCACCTGCAGCAGCTTGGTGAAAACCAAAGGTGCAGTCGTGAGCCCGAACGGCATGGCCCGGAACTGGAAGACCTTTCCGTTGCAAGTAAAACGGAGGTACTTCCGTGCCGACTTCTTGATGGGGATGTGGAAGTAGGCGTCCTTTAGATCTACTGAAGTCGCCCACATTCCCTCTCTCACGGAGGCGATAATACCCCGAGGAGTCTCCATCTTGAAGTGAGGAGAATCTACGTGCTTGTTGAAGGCACTTAGATCTATGATGGGACGCCACGCCCCGGACTTCTTCCGAACCAGAAACATTCTGGAGTAGAACCCGGGAGTGCATCCCGACATAGGAACCTCCTCGACCGCGCCCTTGGAAAGCATGGTCCTTACTTCCTCCTGGAGCGCCAGAGCCTTTTCCGGATCCCCCGGTGGAGGAAAAAAGATTGGCTCTGACGCTAAGGGCGGATCCCGCACTAGCGGAATGCCTAACCCCTCCTTGATCACAGACAAGGTCCATGCGTCTTCCGTAATTTCCTTCCACTCTGGAAGGAAAGCAGAAAGACGACCCCCCACAGGAAGATCTGGTCGAGGCAGATCGAGACCTTGCCAGGCAAGAGAATCGTCTGCTGACCCGAAGCCTAATCCTGCGGGAGAAGGACCTAAGCTTGAGCCGAGAGGACTGCATTCCTCCCGGCCAAACTCGTCGTCTGACACGACCAAGGAGGGAAGAAAAGAGTCAGGAACCCTTCTTCTTACCCCCAGGAGGGTTCTTACCCTTCTTACCCTTCCATTTGTTGCCCTTGAAGGGAGGCTTATACTTGGGCTGCGCAGAGGACTGCGAAGCCGAAGGTTTAGCCTTCTTCTTAGGAGGCGCTGACCCCTGCGAGGTACTGGCCTTCTCAGCCTGAATCCTCTTCACCAGAAGTGCAGAGGCGACCGAGTCCTCCTTCAAATCCTTCTGAACAGAAGGAAGGGCCCCTCCAAAAAGAGTGGACCCTGAGAAGGGGGCAGTCAACAGTCTGGAACGGTAAGGCTCATCGACCGGGCGATTTTTCAAAACTGAAAACCGCCTAGCCAACAAGACATTGACGAGGGATGACACCTGTAAAGCTGCCAGCGCTCTCAATGCCCCGTTCAGGGCAGAGGTCACTCTGTCCTGGATGTCGGCCTGCTCTGTCTCGGTAATCCGACCCTCAGGCAAGTCGGATACCCTATATAGACAAACCGTCAAGTAGTCTATATACGACAGAATCTGGATGGAGAGACGCAGCAGTCTCTCCATCTTGTGGTGTTCTTTGGGACCGAACACCACCTGGTCCACCGATTTACCGGGCCAAGCTGCAAGTTCCCTCGATTCCAGCTTAGCTGGTTGAGGGGCAAGCAGACCATCATGTGTGGCATAGTCAGTGGCGTGCACCTCTGACAAATCGCCAACACTGAGCTGCAACCCAGCATACCCAGGACTACGGGTTGAAGAAGAATTCTTCCCTAAAACCCGAGACTGGGCGGTGGCCAGAGCTGAAGACACAATGGTGCCTTCTGGCAGAGAGCGGTCCGACCGAGCGGACACCCGAGGAGCCACCAAAGAACCCAAAAGGGTGGTGGACTCGGGGACAGATGATGCCGAAGGTGGTGGGCAAACCTCCTCCCCAAGAATCCGGGAAACGTCAGCCCTAAGGCCCCGCATACCGGATAACACATGCTGGGCCTCAACCTCAGCAGCCTCAGGGTCTCCCTCATCCTGGAAGTCCTCCTCTGAGGGCAAGCCCTCCTGAGGACTGTCGTCAGACGACTCGGAAAGACCAGCGTCTATATCCGAACAACCAGGTGAAAGATGAACAACATCATTGTCCTCTGCCATACCCGCGCCCTCAACGTCCATAGCCTCCACACCATCCAGACCAGAAGCCTGGGGCGGAGGAAATGGGCCAGCCAGAGGGGCCAACCCGAGAGAAGGCTCCCCGTACCGGCGTTTAGGTGCAGTGCGCCTAACGGCCGTGGCTGTAGGTTTAGGCTTAGTAGCCAAAACCCTACCCTTGGACCCAGAGACCAACGAGCCTGCCCGAGAGGCAGAAGTCCTAAAGGTCCGACACACCTTCTTAGGACCGGCCGATAAGGCCCCCGAAGTAGCAGAAAGTTGGGGGGGGTCAACAGAACTGCTAACACGTCTCCGCGAGGGAGAGACCAAACCCCAAGGATTCCATGACGGAAATGCCATGGGGTTAAACCCATATCCCGGAGGATAGGGGAAAGGTCCCGCGGGCTGGGAGTGACCCCAGAACTGGCCAAACTGGCCTGCCTGAGACTGGGGCTGGCCAACTTGCCCAAAGGGCGAAGGTGGACCGCCACTCCCTCCAGGTGGAAACCCGGACATGTACGGGCTAAGCCCGTAACTGCCGGGATGCTGTCGCAACCCAAAACCATCCGCAGGCTGGTAAGGGCGGCCCAAGGATGGTTGCCCGCAGGCACCCGTATACCCTAAGCCAGGGGAAAACGGAGGCCGGAAACCGGCCCCCTGTCCAGCAAACCCAACCCCTGGGGGGAAACCCCCCAGGTTCCCAGAAGAATGAAACTCGGGACCGGACCTAATAGGACCGGGTCCGGGTAACTGACCGGGAGGGTATGCCTGACCAGCATTGATGCCGGGATTAGTGAGCTGCGCGTCACTAATCCCGGTAGACACAGACAATCCCGAAAGAAAGTCTGTTGTCACACCAGGACCTGAACCCGAAAGAACAGGCCCGGCACCAAGACTGTCCCCAACGACCGCACCACCTGGAATGCCGGGATCACTGACAGAGTCAGTGACCGGCGGCCGGTAGTCCCTACCCGAAGGCAAGCGCGAAAGCTTACGGGCGTTCCCGGCCAATTCGACCCTTGGCTGTGCCAAGCCAGGGTCAGGCTGCCCCTCCCCTACTCCAGGGAGTTCCTGGACAGGAAGGGCCACCCCCTGCTCACGAGAGGGACTTGCCGAAGCAAGACCCCCCGAGACAGGAACAGAGACAGTACCACCAGACCCCAGAGAGCTGGTGGCACGACCCCTACCTCTCTGCTTCCCTCGCTTACCGGAAGAAACAGACGAATCTGTCTTACGGTAAGTTGAGGGTAGCTTTGGAACAATGAAGTCCTTGCCCTGAGATTTTGACTGTGAACAAAGTTCACAAGGCGAAACCTCACTGCAAGGACGACACCTGGGACAGGCATCATGAGGGTCCCGTTCCACAAAGAAATGGGAACACCCATGAGCACTACCTCGTCGCTGTCCCGACCGAGACATACCCTCCAAAGCGAACGTAAACAAAAAATTTACAAGCAGATAAAACGGGAAAATAAGGATAAAATACGATAGTACAAAGTACGCAACGTAGAAAGAATTTCACCCGTAATATAAATCAGAAAACGGTTAAAATAAATAACGTTTGCCGAAACAAACAACCGTCACCGAAATAAACAGAGGTCGGAAATTAACCCACGATAATGGCGGACCGTGGCACACCACCGGCACACGTGGAGTAAAATAACCGGCCGTAAAAGGCACAAAAATAATTTTCAACAACAATTAGTTATATCAATAAGGGCAGATGGGTAAAAGGCACACAAACTGCGCAAAAATATGAGTTGACACTCAAACCAAACCGACAAAACAAAGTTTTGAATTGGAGCAAGCTCCGTGCGTCAGCATGCAGCAGGCGTCATAAAAGGAAGAGGAAGGGAGATCACTCTGTGGCTCTGTCATCGAGATAGAGGTTACGTCACGGTAGGGAGGTAGGGATATTTGAAACTTTTGTTTTTGGGCTACAAAGATGGGTGAAGGTATTGTATATGCATACTAAAGTTATGGTAATTATTACTGAAATGAAATATATAGTTGCTAGTTTACCTGAATGTTCCTGCTGTGTTGATGACCTCAGCTTTGGCTGCCTCTGTTGCTAGCCAGTCCCCAGGGTTGACAAGAGATTTCTCTTTCTCAGTCAGTAAGACATCCAGATGTTTGCATATGCCCTTCACAAGGTTGTGGGACACTGTAGGTTTATAAAGTTATTGTTCACGTTTTCAATGGCTGATGGGGAGGATGAAACTGATCATGAAAAATATATGATTTTTTAAACATTACTCTTTTTATTCTGCTCAATCTTTCTGTCAAAATACATTTCTGAAACCGATAAAATCCAATTACACTTGTACCGGATTCGTTCAAAAGAATCAGAGAGTTAATAACAGAATTTTTTACCCAGATTAGTTTGACCATAGTGTCGTAGATCCAAAAGCTGTCTGACCCTTTCTGTTGACCTCGCTGTGTCCATCTTTGTGTCCTTGACCATTGCAGAGGCAGCCTGGATACAGCTCAGTACCAGGTTTTCTACAGGAAGTTTATGAGAGTGAGCTGGGTTGGACGGGAATCCACTCATATTGTTAAAGTCCAGTTGGATGTCTTCTTCATCCACATCCATATCTGTTTGTCGGCCATCTTGCTCTACTGGGGTATCTGTTTCCATGGAAATTTCAGTAGATTGCCCAGTTTCCTCACCGACAGCATGATGTACCAACATTCCCAGAGACTTTCCTTGCATTTCTGACATCCTCAACGTATCACCCTCGGGTCGAATGTCATCAATGTGGAGGGAATGCCAATGCCCACACTGATATCATTTATAAAGAAATTCAATTCGATGTTATTTTATAAATATAAACTTCTTCTTTATAACAAATAAACATACTAACAGAAAATAGCTGAGAGACATGAACGCCCCTTTTATCATGCAAATTAGAAATACTTTTAAACAAAATCTGTCAAAAAAAGTATTTTGTACATTGTGTATTATAAACTACTGTAAGGTGATGGGGTCTAAACTTTTGGGCATCTTTGTGCATCAGAAGGTAAAAGTGGAAAATGGCGAAAGGACAAAAGAAAAAGAATTTAGGTTTCTCAATGGCCATATTTTATCAGGACGAAAACTCAATTATCTTTTCAGGGTGAAAAAGAAGAAATAATACCTGGGACTTCTCATTAGTGTGCATTTTTTTCTTTTTTTTTTGCATATGATTTCTTGTCTTTTCCCTATCATTTCAGATCCTGAATATTATAAGATTCTTTCATGCTCAGGGGTGTAGGATAGGAAAAATTCCATCCGAGGGTTTCAAAAACCCAAATTTGAAAAGCCTGAGGGTGGAATTTCCCTATCCTACACCCTTAGGCATGAAAGAGTATTTTTCTTTCATTCCAAACTCAAAGGAAACTAAATTTCACTAATGCAGCAAAAGCAAAACAATTTCTTAGGGACTTGTATTACTGAACCTGTTGAGAATGGCCCAGGTAAAAAAATATGTATCAATACTATGGAATTTTACCTGAAATCCACTAAAACAGCCCCCTGCTATCCTTGGCAACTGTATGATGAAGATGGCATGTATGTTCGCCTTGATCTGATAACCCAGCTGCTGTAGTTCATCCTGAATACAGTACCGGGCACAGGCCACGAGACTGGCATTTTGATCTCCACAGTCGCTCTGGACTATCAATAACATCTCATCCTCCTCTCTTCCAAAATACACCCTGTAATGTCAAATAAACCACCCTTACCCTTCACAAAACACACCCTGTAATGTCAAATAAACCAATCTTACCCTTCACAAAACACACCCTGTAATGTCAAATAAACCAACCTTACCCTTCATAAAACACACCCTGTAATTTCAAATACACCAACCTTACCCTTCACAAAACACACCCTGTAATGTCAAATAAACCACCCTTCCCCTTCACAAAACACACCCTGTAATGTCAAATAAACCCCCCTTACCCTTCACAAAACACCCCCTGTAATGTCAAATAAACCACCCTTACCCTTCACAAAACACGCCCTGTAATGTCAAATAAACCACCCTTACCCTTCACAAAACACACCCTTTAATGTCAAATAAACCAATCTTACCCTTCACAAAACACACCCTGTAATGTCACACAAACCAATCTAACCCTTCATAAAACACACCCTGTAACGTCACACAAACCAATCTAACCCTTCACAAGGCCTGCAACGATATTTCCTATGGTAATGTATCATGATACTACCTCGTGAAATTGATTTGTTTGCCTGTATTATGATACACTAACAGTACTGAAATTATCAATCAATTATTATCAAACTCTAAAAAAAAGGTGTACATATTTTTTTTAATCCTTCAGTAAAGAGTGGTCCACTGTGCAGTCATACCCAAAATTACTAAAACTCGTACAAAAATATACATTCAAATAGTATCAAATATTGAAGTCTATGAAAAAACTCGATAAAATCCTGCAGTCAATCATCATGAAGTTGACCTTTTAAGCAGATATTTGTATTGTGATATGTATTGTATCGTAAGCCGCAATCCATATTGTACCACGAGGTATGGGTACCGTTGCAGCCTTTTCCTCCACACAACCTGTAACGACACATGGACTATATACACCATGTTGTATTTGAAGTCTGTGACTACTCACCTGACCTGTCTACAGAACTGCTGCTCAGTATCAAATGACTGTAGGTTCAGTAATACCATGTTGTCTACTGGGATCCCCAGCTTGCATGACAGTTCTTCTAGGTCCACACTGGTGATCAGCTTAGAGTGGGTTGTAACCTTCACATAAACAAGTTAATGCATTCAATGTTAATGTTTCTTTTTAAATAAAATACTGAATTAAACTCAAACTATAAACATCCATTATTTCGTTTCTCAAATATTTTCCTGTCTGTGACTAAAACTTGTGTGTTCTGAAGCAAGAAAATACTGAAAGTTGGTAGTAAAACTTATTATTTAAATAAACAATTGAAATGATATCTTAATACATTATTGTATTCATATTTGTTACCTGAGCAAAATGGCTGTCGCTATTCTCCTGCCTGATTTTCTGGTAGAGGTAATCGGACAGACACTGGTGCTGCTGTTCCTGCCAGTAAATCTCACTCAAGCTAGCTTCTTCTTCAGCTATGGGTGTTGTAGGCAATCTCATCACCGCATCTGGTGTAGCACACCACAGCAACACTCTCTTGGCCGAGTCATACACCTGACAGGGAACAACCACAACCAAAATGATGTCTCAATACCCTTGATAGTCATTGCTTATTGTAAGTCTAAGATTACCTCTTTATGGCAAGTTTGTTCAACATAAACTTGAATTCGAAAGTTGAAAACTAAATATCATAAAAATCTGAATATGAGGATTTCTGATACAGTATATACCTGTTCATTGTTGACTTGTCCCTCCCTGTAGTGTTGTTGGTACATATGAAGCACAATGGCAGCACAGCTATCGGCATGGTAACCCATAAAAACATCTCCTACAGAAAACTCCTCTTTCTTCATTCTGTCAAAAAACCATCACAGCTTTATTTTTTATTATTACATTTTTTCAATATTCAACAAAAATTGACAAATATATCACCATGAATATTTCAGTATAGCAAAGCAAATCATGTCACATACCTTTTTTTATCATCTAGAAATGATAGATGATCTTTACCAAGATATATCCACAAGATGTCTTTGCCAGGACACAGATGGGATGAGTTGAACCTTTGTTCCATTGCTTGACAGTAAATGATATGGCTATAATATTTCATGTTTCCAGCTATCATAAACCAGAGTGGCATTATTTGACCTTGCTGTGACCTTTACCTTTGAATTATGGACAAGAAAGGGTTATGTGACTGATACTGTCTAGATATGATACCTGTATCAAAGTTGTTTACTCAAAAGAAGATTGGGCTTGCAGAAGTAATTTTCTGGACACGCATTTTAAAGATCTGACCTTTTACCTTGCTCTGATCTTGACCTTAAAGTACAAGCATGAGAGTGGTATGCAGCACACTACCACCTCCTGATACAGGTACAGCTCCAGACATTCTACATATGACTTCTCATGACTACCCCGACCTTGACGGTTTCTCATGACTACCCCGACCTTGAGGGTTTCTCATGACTACCCCGACCTTGACGGTTTCTCATGACTACCCCCGACCTTGACGGTTTCTCATGACTACCCCGACCTTGAGGGTTCTGACCTCCGAGTTGTGTGTGTCAGTACAGTTCAATTCTACCTTTACCTAGTGATGGACAGATGGACAGATATAATATGGGATGACAGACATTGTGTAACCATACAGTCCCTTCACACCTGACCAGTATACCTACCTTTGTAAATAACCTGCTGTAGACACCTGACCAGTATACCTACCTATGTAAATAACCTGTTGTAGACACCTGACCAGTATACCTACCTATGTAAATAACCTGTTGTAGACACCTGACCAGTATACCTACCTTTGGAAGTAACTTGTTATGTTTCCCTGACAGTTGACAAAGTCTTTGGCCCATTTTTCTAGCCTCTCTGCTAATTCCAGCTGCTGCTCTGTCAACATGGTGGACACGTTTAGGAAATGCTTCTCCAGTCGGTTGATGAGAGGGATGGGGAACTTGTCATACACAACTTGTTTCTCAGCAACCACTATAAGTCTACAAATTAGAATCATTAGCTTATAAACTAATCAACACAAGAAATCATCAAATAGGGTAACAAATGTTTTGTAGTTTGAATTCAAGTAACAATTATTTTCGTGTTTAGGTGTAAATTTTTACTGAGAACTTGTAGTTTCATGACTGTCGTGCTTAGGTATAAACTTTTACTGAGAACTTGTGGTTTCATCACTGCCAAGTGTTTATGTTAACCTTATTTACTGAACATTGTTTACATTTTTCATTTGTGCTTGACACTTAAAATAAATACAAAAATAGTTATCCCACTCATGAAAACAACTAATGTTCATCAAGAAACCAAGAATATCCTCTATCTATTTGACTTATAAGACAACTTAATCCAAAATGTAAGCACTTAAGCTTTTTCATCCAACAAACATGCAAATATTTTTTTCTGAACAAAATTATTAATATAAAAAATAATTGCACTTTCAGAGAATTTTGTCCAAATCTGACATTGAAAACTAAGAGGCCCAATGGACCTTAAAGCTCACATGAATTACATTGATTAAGATTCATAACTACATTGTACTAGTATTTTTGAGAAATCCATATAACTCACAATTTTGGCTGGCCTTTGACTATGGAACCTTCCTCCAAAATTTATTGAAAATGGTTCAGAGGTTTTGGAGAAGTAAAAAATGTAACAAGTTTATTCACAACGCAGGCCATGGACAAAGACGAATGGCAATAGCTCACATGAGCAATCATATGAGCTAGAACTGCCTCTGAAAAATTGTAGCTCTGGTTTTCACTCAGTGGTTCTAACACAAACAACTCACCTGAAGTCTTTATGGACCCTGCACTTTACTCTGTGTGTCCCCAGTCCCAAGTCCACATATCGCTCACCCCCAAACTCCACGTAATACTGAAAAATATACAAAATATGATTTCAATGACGGCAAATATGTGCGTGAAGCAATATAGATTAAACTGTAATTAAATTAGAAACAATCTGTTCTTGTGTTTTCATCATCATTACATGTAGTTATATTGGAAAAGGCAAAATATATTATTCAATTTTTTTTCATTTTTTGTTTGGTGTTATACATCCTCGAAACAACCACTGTCATATGCAGTATTAGACACTGGGTCTGCAAGTAATGCACGTGCAAATCTTTGTAAGAAGGAGTAAGGGTTGGGTCTAGGAAACTGTTGTACACACGGAAAGGAGTAACACAGTGTGTCCTTGGCATTTTAATGTGACGACTAGAGATAGGCCAACTATTGACTGTTAATTCCATAATTGATGTAATCGGTAATAATTACTTAACTCAGATTTCAAATATATACAATGTACAGTAATTGACAAACGCAATTTATTTTCTTGATTATTTCATATGATTGATGTTAATGTCGCTAAAAACAGCTTGTGACTGTATTAAAGTTGGCTGTAAAAGAAAGATACCTAATCTACAGTCAACGACTCTGTCTGTTCATGATACAGTAGTGATGTCACTCTATTTTGGTATTCAGTCCCATATAATTATAAACTGATTATTCCTAGTATTACAAATCGATTATCGATTATGATTAAAAACCTACTGTCCATCACTATTGACAGCAGAAATATGGAAAATTAGAACTAGTCATTCAGAAGAACCTGTTAAACTATTCATCAACAAGCAATCACCCTGTATGCTTTAGTTATTCAGAAGAAGTCGTTTCAGAACTCAACATATTTGACACCTGTGACCTTGAATAATGGGCCAATGTCATTCATTTAAACAAGCTTTGTAGTCCTTCATGCCAACATCCTTCAGGCCAAATATCATCACCCTGGACCTTTTGGTTATACAAAAGAAGTTGTTTAAAGATTTTTAAGACAATTGACCCCAGTGACCTTGAATATGAGTGAAGGTCATTTGTTTGAACTAACTTCGTAGCCCTTCATGCCAACATCCTTCTGGCCAAATATCATCACCCTGGACCTTTTGGTTTTACAGAAGAAGTCGCTTAAAGATTTCAACATATTTGACACCTGTGACCTTGAATATGGGCAAAGGTCATTCATTTACACAAATTTCGTAGCACTTCATACCAACATCCTTCTGGGCTAATATCATCACCCTGGACCTTTTGGTTCTACAAAGAAGTTGTTTAAAGGTTTTTAAGACAATTGACCCTTGTGACCTTGAATATGAGTGAAGGTCATTTGTTTGAACAAACTTGGTAGCCCTTCATCCCAAAACGCATCTGGCGAAATATCATCACCCTGGAGCTTTTGGTAATTCAGAATAAGTTGTTTAAATATTTCAACATATTTGACCCCTGAGATCTTGAATATAGGCAAAGGTCATTCATTTGAACAAACTTGGTAGTGCTTCATCACAGCATGGTATTGGCCAAATATCATCATCCTGGGCCTTCTGGTTAATCAGAAGAAGATGTTTAAAGGTTTTAACATATTTGACCCCTGTGACATTGAATATGGGCAAAGGTCATTCATTTGAACAAACTTGGTTAGCCCTTTATCCAAGCATACTACTGGCCAAATATCAACATCCTAGACCTCTTGGTTATTTAGAGAGAAAAAAAATTAAAAGTTTAAACATATTTGACCCTTCTTTGACCTTGAATATGGGCTAGGTCATTCATTTGAACAAACTTGGTAATGCTTTATCCTAGCATGTTATTGGTCAAAACGCCGCACCATGCCATAAGCTCACTTGGCCCTTTGGGCCAGGTGAGCTAAAAATGAAATATGTATATAACCCCTATCACAACATCAATATTTTCTAAAGGACAAAGTTATGCTGAATGAGTNTTTTTTGTTTTGTTTTTTAAAAATTTCCCCCCCCCCCCCCAATCAGAAGAAGATGTTAATAGGTTTTAACATATTTGACCCCTGTGACATTGAATATGGGCAAAGGTCATTCATTTGAACAAATTTGGTTAGCCCTTTATCCAAGCATACTACTGGCCAAATATCAACATCCTAGGCCTCTTAGTTATTGAGAAAAAATAAATACTTCAACACATCTGAAACCTTTGACCTTGAAAGTAGGTCAAGGTCATTCATTTGAACAAACTTGGCAGTCCTTCACCGCAGCATGCTACTGGTCCAGTATCATGACTCTGGGCCTGTTGGTTATTGAGAAAAGTCATTTAAAGATTTTAACACATTTGACCCCTGAGACCTTGAAAGTAGGTCAAGGTCATTCATTTGAACAAATTGGTAGCCCTATTACGCAGCATGCTACTAGTCAAATATCATGACCCTGGGCCTCTTGGTTATTGCAAAGTCGTTGAAATATTTTAAAACATTTGACTACTGTGACCTTAAAAGTAGGTCAAAGTCGTTCATTTGAACAAATATGGAAACACTTCACTCCAGCATGCTACTGGCCCAAAATCATCACCAAGGGCCTCTTGGTTATTGAGAAGAAGACGAAAATGTAATTAGTCTCAGGTGACCTAAAAATATCAAAGCTGTGGCTATTTCCTTTTGGCAAAAGATTTTTACAGCTCAATACCCTTTACAGCCTATGTTAAACATTTGCATTTTGGCGTGGCCCCAATTCTGACCCAAGGGGTCTGATTTGTACAAACTTGAATTTTCACCCTTAGGGTATGTTAAAAGTGAAATATCAAAACTGTGGCTATTTCCTTTTGGCAGAGAAGATTTTTGTAGCTCAATATTCCATTACAGCCTATGTTAAACTTTGGCCCTTGGGCTTGGTCCCAATTTTGACCCAAGGGGTCTAATTTGTACAAACTTGAATCTTCACACCTAGGGCTTGCTTAAAAGTGAAATATAAATCCTGCAGCCATTCTCGGTCTTAAGAAGAAGATTTTTATAGATTTAGTCAAATTTCCCATTTTGGGCCCCACCCCTCAGCCCCCAGGGATCCAGCAACTTTTCTTGAACATTCTTGAACCCTCATTCTACAAAGATACTTCAGACAAAATTTGGTCAAAATCTATGCAGTGGTTCTTGAGAAGAAGTCGAAAATGCAAAAAGATAATATGAAAAGGGGCATTACTCTTAGGAAATTTTGTCCAAATTTGATGACATGTAAAAGGGTGCAACATCCCATAATAGAAAAGCATTATGCTCAGTTTGCTTTATAAGATTAACACAATATTTGGGATGAGAAGTTATATCAAAAGGGTCACTTTAATTAACGCCAAGGAATTTTGTTCAAATTTAAATGAAGAGCAAAAAGGCGCAACATTATAGCATAGGTTTCAGCAATTGTGNGGGGGGAGGGGAATCTCAAATGTCCCAATTTATGACCCAGGGATCAAGTCTCTAAGGGTGGATGATATTCAGGAAGTATAATTGTGTTTGTTTCTCGAAGACCAGCATTTGTTAATATGAGCTTTCAAGGGTAAGGCCAGACCCTTGAGCCATCTTAGAAGCATATCTATTTCTTTTCTTTTTTGTATTTCTTAATTGCATTCATGGTTATAGGGAGGAGAACTTAACTAATTCCAAGTTTTGACTCAGAAACTAAATCCCTAAGGGTTTGGCCAGACCCCAAGGCTGAATCTAATGTCATAATTGGTTTCATCTCTTTATGCCCAGCAATGGTATACATAGTTATGGTGTGGGAATCTCAAACCTTTATGTTATGAGCCAGGGACTATAAAGACTCTTGTAAAATAATTACTTGATAGTCATAGATGGTTCTACACCCACAGTATTAGGCACCCCATCTAGTTCTATAGATGATGCTGAGGATGAGCAGGACCCAAACGTTTCCTCAAGTACTGGGGATGCAACAGTACTTGATGAAGCTGGAGATGAGGACAGTGCTGATGATGATCAGAACTCTATAGCAAAGACCCACCTGTCTGAGCCTCAGGAGGACTTTATCTCCCAGGGTGGGGAGGGGTGGCATCGAGTAATGCCAAACAGAAAAGTCCTGGAAAACCCTTACCTGTTCCTAGGAGATCTGATAGGAGACGTCAACCACAAAAGTGGTAAAAGTCAGGGAAGTTTATCATGAGCCAAACTCCAACGACACAACCTGAGTGGATGTTAAGAGCTACCTATTTACAGGATTTAACTAGTCGAGGAACATTGCACAACATGCCAGAGCGAGTTTTAGACTCTTTGCTGTCCATCGATAGTGGTAGATTTCTTTTAGTTTATTGTTTATAACTATTTACATGTGTTCATTGTACTTTTTCACTGTAATGACACGGAGGTCATTTCTTTTGTGAGAGGGGAGTATGTAACAGGGATATGTACTTTGAATGGATTTATGAAAGGTCTTGGTGTAAGGAACCTTAAATGGTTATTTGGAAGTATAGTTGTGTGATGAAAGACCCTTAATGTTTGTGTGTTACCTGTATGTAAGAATGTGTGGAATGTGAGTACTTTTAGTCACATGACATCAGCAGACATTTTTATTGGCCATAGCTAACAACTGCATGATTTTTAACTTGACTAATATGACTCAGCACCAAGGTATTGAACGATCAAGAACTACTTTTTATATTGGGAGAATTTGGTATTACATGTTAAACACTTTGTAACAACTGCCAGTCATACGTCGCCTGTTAGACACAGGAATTTCTGTAAACCCCCACATTTTCTTTTTTAAATACAGAATAAATGGCATAAAGAACCCAACAGTGTTTAGTGGATTGTTATACATGAAAATAGCACTGAAACATAATGTTCTTAAGACTCTCATAAAGGTACACCAGGTATGTAAGGCCAAACAAAATTAATTACTTGATTCTCAGGCCAATATTTTTCAAAAGAGATGCGGCAGGGAGGTAATTTTTTTCCATTTGACATGGCAAAAATGAGACGAGTGCAATTTTTTTTTTATTGTGTATTTTGTAAAACTTTTGTTGTGGGCATTACCTTGTCTTTTTATAGTTGTGTAGAGACCGTCATAGAGCAAGCCTCCGAAAATCCCCCCACGATGTTCTAGACGAGAATCACGAACCGCCCCCCCNCCCCCCCCATTCCTTATTTGTACCGAAATTAGTGCCATTTGTAAACGAGACTAATAAGTCATAATCATTTTAACGCTTGCCTGTATATCAATTTCCTTATCTTTATTCAAACGTTTTCAGGACTTTCGTGACTAACGAGTAAAAACGACATGCGGACCAATTTTCAGAATTTTTTTAAAGACAGTGACTGGCACATTCACGATTGCACGATGCGGTGCCCTAAAATGAAACGCGCGCGGGCCTGAGTACCAAGTAATCAAATTTTTTTGGCCTAATATATACGAGGTGTACCTACAGTTGGGGAGTCGTTAAGAATCCTGTAAAGTTCACCAGGTATTTGGTATATAAGAGGGGTACCTACCTGGTTGAGAGCGTCGTACAGACTCTCGTAAAGGTTTTCCAGGTTAAGTAGGACCACCGTGTTGCCTGTCTCCATACACACCTTGATGCGATTGATGTTCCTACACACCTAGAAATACACAAATAGCATGATGTTAAAAACGTTATGATTTCAACTTTTTCAGAATATGACACTAAATTTTCAGGATTTTTTAATTTTTTTGGTAAAATAGTTTAAAATGATAAAGTCACTTAATCTAGAGAAACATTCTTACCTGTGTATATTCCTGGTCACTAGGGAAGCTGCTACCAAATATGGTAATGGCTTTCTGTTTCTTTAAGATCTCCTGCTGTAGAATTGTCAGAGCTCCATAGTTTTCAGTCAACAACAGCAGGTATCGACTTTCGCTGTCAATCAATCACATTTACATTAGTTAATAGGTAGTAAGTCACTGTCAATCAATCACATTTACATTAGTTAATAGGTAGTAAGTCACTGTCAATCAATCACATTTACATTAGTTAATAGGTAGTAAGTCACTGTCAATCAATCACATTTACATTAGTTAATAGGTAGTAAGTCACTGTCAATCAATCACATTTACATTAGTTAATAGGTAGTAAGTCACTGTCAATCAATCACATTTACATTAGTTAATAGGTAGTAAGTCACTGTCAATCAATCACATTTACATTAGTTAATAGGTAGTAAGTCACTGTCAATCAATCACATTTACATTAGTTAATAGGTAGTAAGTCACTGTCAATCAATCACATTTACATTAGTTAATAGGTAGTAAGTCACTGTCAATCAATCACATTTACATTAGTTAACCTGTAAATGACTCGGACAAAATTATTAGAAAATTTACATCAGTTAAGAGGTTTTAAGTTGATATTGTCAAACAAGAAATTTTCAAATTTACATACATTGTATATATGTGTAACAAATGGTAAAGGAAATTACAGCAGAAAACCAGAGAAGTGTAAGATATTAATCTGTCCTCACCTGTCCGGAAGACCTGGATCAGATGATCACACCTGATGTAAGGTATAAACCTGTCCTTACCTGTCAGGTAGACCTGAATCAGACCACACCTGAAGTGTAAGGTATTTACCTGTCCTTGCCTGTCAGGCAGACCTGGATCAGACCACACCTGAAGCATAGGGTATTATAACCTGTCCTTACCTGTCAGACAGACTTGGATCAGACCACACCTGAAGTTTAAGGTATTTATCTGTTCTTACCTGTCAGGCGGACCTGGATCAACCACACCTGAAGTCTAAGGTATTTACCTGTCCTTACCTGTCAGGCAGACCTGGATCAGGCAACACATGAAGTGTAATGTATTTACCTGTCCTTACCTGTCAGACAGACCTGGATCAGACCACACCTGAAGTGTAAAGTATTTACCTGTCCTTACCTGTCAGACAGACCTAGATCAGACCAGTCACCTGAAGTATAGGGTATTATAACCTGTCCTTACCTGTCAGACAGACCTGGATCAGACCACACCTGAAGTGTAGGGTATTTACCTGTCCTTACCAGTCACACAGACCATGATCAGACCACGCCTGAAGTTTAAGGTATTTATCTGTTCTTACCTGTCAGGCAGACCTGAATCAGACCACACCTGAAGGGTAAGGTATTTACCTGTCCTTACCTGTCAGGCAGACCTGGATCAGACCACACCTGAAGTGTAGGGTACTTACCTGTCCTTACCAGTCACACAGACCATGATCAGACTACACCTGAAGTTTAAGGTATTTATCTGTTCTTACCTGTCAGACAGACCATAATCAGACCACACCTGAAGTTTAAGGTATTTATCTGTTCTAACCTGTCAGGCAGACCTGGATCAACCACACCTGAAGTCTAAGGTATTTACATGTCCTTACCTGTCAGGCAGAACTGGATCAGACAACACATGAAGTGTAAGGTATTTACCTGTCCTTACCTGTCAGGCAGACCTGGATCAGACAACACATGAAGTGTAAGGGATTTACCTGTCCTTACCTGTCAGGCAGAACTGGATCAGACAACACATGATGTGTAAGGTATTTACCTGTCCTTACCTGTCAGGCAGAACTGGATCAGACAACACATGATGTGTAAGGTATTTACCTGTCCTTACCTGTCAGGCAGAACTGGATCAGACAACACATGATGTGTAAGGTATTTACCTGTCCTTACCTATCAGACAGACCTGGATCAGACCACACCTGAAGTGTAGGATATTTAACTGTCCTTACTTGTCAGACAGACCTGGATCAGACAACACCTGAAGTGTAAGGTACTTACCTGTCCTTACCTGTCAGACAGACCCGGATCAGACCACACCTGAAGTGTAGGGTATTTATCTGTCCTTACTAGTCACACAGACCATGATCAGACCACACCTGAAGTTTAAGGTATTTATCTGTTCTTACCTGTCAGGCAGACCTGAATCAGACCACACCTGAAGTGTAGGGTATTTACCTGTCCTTACCAGTCACACAGACCATGATCAGACTACACCTGAAGGTTAAGGGATTTATCTGTTCTTACCTGTCAGGCAGACCTGAATCAGACCACACCTGAAGTGTAGGGTATTATAGCCTGTCCTTACCTGTCAGGCAGACCTGGATCAAACAACACATGAAGTGTAAGGTATTTACCTGGCCTTACCTGTCAGACAGACCTGGATCAGATAACACCTGAAGTGTAGGGTATTATAACCTGACCTTACCTGTCAGGCAGACCTGGATCAAACAACACATGAAGTGTAAGGTATTTACCTGTCCTTACCTATCAGACAGACCTGGATCAGACCACACCTGAAGTGTAGGGCATTTACCTGTCCTTACCAGTCACACAGACCATGATCAGACTACACCTGAAGTTTAAGGTATTTATCTGTTCTTACCTGACAGGCAGACCTGGATCAGACCACACCTGAAGTGTAGAGGTATTTACATGTCCTTACCTGTCAGGCAGAACTGGATCAGACAACACATGATGTGTAAGGTATTTACCTGTCCTTACCTGTCAAACAGACCTGGATAAGACCAAACCTGAAGGGTAAAGTATTTACCTGTCCTTACCTGTCAGATTTACCTGTCCTTACCTGTCAGGCAGAACTGGATCAGACAACACATGATGTGTAAGGTATTTACCTGTCCTTACCTGTCAGACAGACCTGGATAAGACCAAACCTGAAGTGTAAAGTATTTACCTGTCCTTACCTGTCAGACAGACCTGGATCAGATCACACCTGAAGTGTAGGGTATTATAACCTGTACTTACCTGTCAGGCAGACCTGGATCAGACCACACCTGAAGTGTAAGGTATTTACCTGTCCTTACAAGTCACACAGACCATGATCAAACCACACCTGAGGTTTAAGGTATTTATCTGTTCTTACCTGTCAGGCAGACCTGGATCAGATCACACCTGTAGTGTAAGGTATTTACCTGTCCTTACCTGTCAGGCAGACCTGGATCAGACTACACCTGAAGTGTAGGGTATTATAACCTGTCCTTGCCTGTCAGGCAGACCTGGATCAGACCACACCTGAAGTGGAAGATATTTACCTGTCCTTCCCTGTCAGACAGACCTGGATCAGACCACGCCTTAAGATTGTATTTACCTGTCTATTGTGTCACCTGTCAAACAGGCCTGGATCAGACCACACCTGAAGTGTAGGATATTTACCTGTCCTTACTTGTCAGACAGACCTGGATCAGATCACACCTGAAGTGTAGGGTATTATAACCTGTCCTTGCCTGTCAGGCAGACCTGGATCAGACCACATCTGCAATGTAGGGGATTTACCTGTCCTTACCTGTCAGCCAGACCTGGATCAGACTACACCTGAAGTGTAGGGTATTATAACCTGTCCTTGCCTGTCAGGCAGACCTGGATCAGACCACACCTGTAGTGTAAGGTATTTACCTGTACTTACCTGTCAGGCAGACCTGGATCAGACCACACCTGTAGTGTAAGGTATTTACCTGTACTTACCTGTCAGGCAGACCTGGATCAGACCACACCTGAAGTGTAGGGTATTATAACCTGTCCTTACCTGTCAGACATACCTGGATCAGACCACACCTGAAGTGTAGGGTATTATAACCTGTCATGATCAGACCACACCTGAAGTTTAAGGCATTTATCTGTTCTTACCTGTCAGGCAGACCTGGATCAGACAACGCATGAAGTGTAAGGTATTTACCTGTCCTTACAAGTCACACAGACCATGATCAAACCACGCCTGAGGTTCAAGGTATTTATCTGTTCTTACCTGTCAGACAGACCTGGATCAGATCACACCTGAAGTGTAGGGAATTATAACCTGTCCTTACCTGTAAGGCAGACCTGGATCAGACCACATCTGCAATGTAGGGGATTTACCTGTCCTTACCTGTCAGCCAGACCTGGATCAGACTACACCTGAAGTGTAGGGTATTATAACCTGTCCTTACCTGTCGGACAGACCTGGATCAGACCACACCTGAAGTGGAAGATATTTACCTGTCCTTCCCTGTCAGACAGACCTGGATCAGACCACGCCTTAGGATTGTTGTCCTTACCTGTCAGACAGACCTGGATCAGATCACACCTGAAGTGTAGGGTATTATAACCTGTCCTTGCCTGTCAGGCAGACCTGGATCAGACTACACCTGAAGTGTAGGGTATTATAACCTGTCATGATCAGACCACACCTGAAGTTTAAGGCATTTATCTGTTCTTACCTGTCAGGCAGACCTGGATCAGACCACACCTGTAGTGTAAGGTATTTACCTGTACTTACCTGTCAGGCAGACCTGGATCAGATCACACCTGTAGTGTAGGGTATTTACCTGTCCTTACCTGCCAGGCAGACCTGGATAAGACCACATATGAAGTGTAGGGTATTTACCTGCCCTTACCTGTCATACAGACCTGGATCAGACCACACCTGAAGTGGAAGATATTTACCTGTCCTTCCCTGTCAGACAGACCTGGATCAGACCACGCCTTAGGATTGTATTTACCTGTCTATTGTGACACCTGTCAGACATTAAGGTATTTATCTGTTCTTACCTGTCAGACAGACCTGGATCAGCCCACACCTGAAGTGTAGGATATTTACCTGTCCTTACTTGTCAGACAGACCTGGATCAGATCACACCTGAAGTGTAGGGGATTATAACCTGTCCTTACCTGTCAGGCAGACCTGGATCAGACCACATCTGAAATGTAGGGTATTTACCTGTCCTTACCTGTCAGGCAGACCTGGATAAGACCACATATGAAGTGTAGGGTATTTACCTGTCCTTACCTGTCATACAGACCTGGATCAGACCACACCTGAAGTGTAGGGTATTTACCTGTCCTTACCTGTCAGACAGACCTGGATCAGACCACACCTGAAGTTTAAGATATTTAACTGTCCTTACCTGTCAGACAGACCTGGATCAGACCACACCTGAAGTTTAAGATATTTAACTGTCCTTACCTGTCAGACAGACCTGGATCAGATCACACCTGAAGTGTAGGGGATTATAACCTGTCCTTACCTGTCAGGCAGACCTGGATCAGACCACACCTGAAATGTAGGGTATTTACCTGTCCTTACCTGCCAGGCAGACCTGGATAAGACCACATATGAAGTGTAGGGGATTTACCTGTCCTTACCTGTCAGACAGACCTGGATCAGACCACACCTGTAGTGTAAGATATTTACCTGTCCTTATATGTCAGATAGACCTGGATCAGACCACACCTGAAGTGTAAGGTATTTACCTGTCCTTATATGTCACACAGACCTGGATCAGACCACGCCTTAGGATTGTATTTACCTGTCTATAGTGTCACCTGTCAGACAGACCTGGATCAGACCACGCCTTAGGATTGTATTTACCTGTCTATTGTGTCACCTGTAAGACAGGCCTGGATCAGACCACGCCTTAGAATTGTATTTACCTGTCTATTGTGACCTCTGTCAGACAGGCCTGGATCAGACCACGCCTTAGAATTGTATTTACCTGTCTAGTGTGTCACCTGTAAGACAGGCCTGGATCAGACCACGCCTTAGAATTGTATTTACCTGTCTAGTGTGTCACCTGTAAGACAGGCCTGGATCAGACCACGCCTTAGGACTGTCTTTACCTGTCTATTGTGACACCTGTCAGACAGGCCTGGATCAGACCATTTCTTAGGATTGTATTTACCTGTCTATTGTGTCACCTGTCAGACAGGCCTGGATCAGACCATGCCTTAGGACTGTATTTACCTGTCTATTGTGTCACCTGTCAGACAGACCTGGATCAGACCATGCCTTAGGACTGTATTTACCTGTCTATTGTGTCACCTGTCAGACAGGCCTGGATCAGACCATGCCTTAGGACTGTAGTTACCTGTCTATTGTGACACCTGTCAGACAGGCCTGGATCAGACCAGCTGGTGAACAGTCAGGGTCAGAATTAGTTCTCTGTAACCACACAAATACATTGAGATAAGATTCAGCGTATAACACAATAAAATATGATGAACATGTACTAAAAGAAGATATTTTTGTGGATTCAAATTTGCAATAATATTGTTATATTATACGACAAATTCTATATATGAATGTTTGACAGACCCAACGTATTGAATAAGGAATGGTGTCAGTGCTACTATTGCAAATAAATCTGGTGGATGTTTACCAGTTAGTGGTACCATTTTACTATTAAATTGCATCTGGTGACACCATGTATTCTACAGCATTTCATTATTTGATTGCATTTGGTGGTATAAATGTAAATAGAAGGTCCAGTAACAAGTAGTGTAGGAGATAGAGCCCGGACAAACTTTTCCTTGATGTAGGTCAAAGGGCAAACAGAGTCACCTACTTTGCTATACGACACACCGCCTCACCAAGATGAACCCATACTCCAAGTATAAAGTTCCAGTGACTACTAGTGTAAGAGATAGAGCCCGGACAAAAATTTTCTTTGATGTAGGTCAAAGGTGAAAATGTAGGTCAGAGTGACCTACTTTTGATACATGACACACCGACTGACCAAGGTGAATCCATGCACCAAGTATGAAGTTCCAATGACAAGTAGTTTAGGAGATAGGTCCCGGACACGATAGCGGAAGGACGGAGGGATGGATGGAAGGGCAGACGGACACATGCAAAATTATAGTCCCCCCCCCCACCCCCGTTTTTCTTTTCTTAATTTAGGTTTAAACAGTATACTTGTGCAACAAAATCCCCAATAAACACTGATCTTATATCAACTGTATGATTTACTAACCTTTTTTGTGATGTCGACTGTAGTTAGAACCTGCTCAAACACACTAACAGGGTCGATATCATCCATTCCTCCAAAGTTACGCATGATGGCATGCTGCATCTGGTGCCATGTTGGTATTTCCTTCTTTTGGTCAGCAAAGGCATACACCATTTTCAACAAACTTAAAAAATAAAAACAAATATTTGATCACTCTCATCAGCTTTTTGATATTTCAGAAGAAATTCTTTGATTTTTGTTTTTTAATTGATTTGAAGACCTATAATTGAGATCGAGGTTATTTGCTTTCTATGTAGGGTCTTCATTAAAAAAATATATGAGCCCAGGTTATTTTTGGTTCTTTTGAAGAGGTTGTTGAAGAACAACGGGCCTAAGGGGCCTGAATACCTTCTTCTGTTTTATATGTTTTTTCAAACTTTATACCACTCCATGCTAGCTAGTTACTGAGTGTCACTATTCTTCATCTCTTGGAAATCATTTGAGCGTTGTGACAAATTTGACCCCTATGACCTTAAATATATGTCATGGTCATTATTTCACAAACTTTGTTCATTTTTATGTAGCTCTTCATGCCAGCAAGCTATTGACCAACAAGAGGCCCAGAGGGCCTGTATGGCTCACCAGAATATGTTTACAATAATTGGAATGAAGTAAAGATACATATGAAAGTTCAGAAAGATCCATCCAGTACTTGAGATATAGCGAGAACAAATTTCAAAGAGAGCCCCACCCCTATGCCCCTAGAAGGGTCATACCCACCGTTTATACAAAATTGGTTCCCCTTCACCAAAGGATGCTTCTTACCAAATTTGGACAAAATCCTGTCATTCTTAAAGAAGAAGAAGGATTTTGAAGAATTTGCTATGTTTCCCCTATTGGGCCCCTCCCTTCTGCCCCAAGAGGGGCCACACTGCTGTTTATACGAAATTGAGTCCCTTTTGCCCAAGGATGCTCCAGACTAAATTAGGATAAAATCCCTTATGGTAGAAGAAGGATTTTAAAGGGTTTTACCTCTATTGCCCCATCCCTCAGGTCCAAGGGGGGTCACACCCACTGTTTATACAAAATTGGTTCCCCTTTACCAAAGGATGCTCCACACAAAATATGGACTAAATCCTTTATTCCTACAGAAGAAGAAGGATTTTAAAGAATTTGCTATATTTCCCCTATTGGGCCCCACCCCTCAGGCCCCTGGAGGGCCAGACCCACGTTTTATACATTATTAAGTCCCATTGGCCCAAGGATGGTCCAACTAAATAAGGATAAAATCCCTTAATCCCTACAGAAGAAGAAGGAATTTAAAGGTTTTACCTCTATTTCCCCTATAGGGCCCCGCCCCTCTGCCCCCAGGGGGACCACACCCACCATTTATACAAAATTGAGTCCCCTTTTCCTAAGGATGCTCCAGACCAAATTTAGTCAAAATCTACTTGGCCGTTCAGGACTAGTAGCGTTTTAAAGGAAAAGTTGACGGACAGACGACGGACGGACGGATGACGGACGATGGACGCTGCGGTATGGCATAAGCTCACCATGGTCCTTTGGACCAGGTGAGCTAAAAACTATGATCCTAGACCTTTCAGATATTCAATAGCATAAAATGTAGTTTCATTGCCACAACTAGTACTGCTGGTCTAAAATTGTGACATAAATGTCCACTAAATATTCATAATATCTTAATAACAGAATAACAAGCTGTTCTTTATGCCATAAGGACCTGCCACACTTCAAATCTATTGTATACAGCATAATACTGAAAATGTAAAGTGATCTAGATCTTGTATGAAATATTCAATTGTAAATAACGTTGTGTAGAGATATCTTCTGTAATTATGCATACCTGTAAAAGTCTCTCAGTCCAAAAAACTCCCTCATTTTCAAGGCACTTTCGAAGAGCTCTAAATAGGCTTTGGCCATTTGAGGAATAAGTGGCTCGATCAGTTTGTAAACATCTCTGTTGGTTTGGCAAATACCTCTGTGAATGGAACAATTAAGTGATAATGATAAATGAAGAAGTTACAGGATTTTATTTAGGTCACATTAAAAAAAAAATCAGAAGCCTGTTTCAGAAAATCCCTGATATCAATTCATACGTAAAAGTTCTTGATTATAAATAACAATGTAACATACATTAAGATTATAATCATCCACTGGAACTAAAAAGAACTAAAACAAAATTATATTGACTCTTACTTCGCACTGAGGGTGAGCTCCTCCAGTTCAGGAACTTCCCTCTGAACTAAAATTCCTCTGTTCATCTTGGCTGGATCCAGGGCCCAGTTGGAGATACCAATGAATGCTACCTGTATAAGGAAATACCATCAATATTTGTTTAGCCGAGTTGGAGATACCAATGAATGCTACCTGTATAAGGAAATACCATCAATATTTGTTTAGCCGAGTTGGAGATACCAATGAATGCTACCTGTATAAGGAAATACCATCAATATTTGTTTAGCCGAGTTGGAGATACCAATGAATGCTACCTGTATAAGGAAATACCATCAATATTTGTTTAGCCGAGTTGGAGATACCAATGAATGCTACCTGTATAAGGAAATACCATCAATATTTGTTTAGCCGAGTTGGAGATACCAATGAATGCTACCTGTATAAGGAAATACCATCAATATTTGTTTAGCCGAGTTGGAGATACCAATGAATGCTACCTGTATAAGGAAATACCATCAATATTTGTTTAGCCGAGTTGGAGATACCAATGAATGCTACCTGTATAAGGAAATACCATCAATATTTGTTTAGCCGAGTTGGAGATACCAATGAATGCTACCTGTATAAGGAAATACCATCAATATTTGTTTAGCCGAGTTGGAGATACCAATGAATGCTACCTGTATAAGGAAATACCATCAATATTTGTTTAGCCGAGTTGGAGATACCAATGAATGCTACCTGTATAAGGAAATACCATCAATATTTGTTTAGCCGAGTTGGAGATACCAATGAATGCTACCTGTATAAGGAAATACCATCAATATTTGTTTAGCCGAGTTGGAGATACCAATGAATGCTACCTGTATAAGGAAATACCATCAATATTTGTTTAGCCGAGTTGGAGATACCAATGAATGCTACCTGTATAAGGAAATACCATCAATATTTGTTTAGCCGAGTTGGAGATACCAATGAATGCTACCTGTATAAGGAGATACCATCAATATTTGTTTATATTATCTATTGATAGAAGGAATTCAGTCAATACATGTATTTATCAGTATCATCTATTATCACAGTTTATACTACTATTACACTAAACATTGTATTTTTTGTCTTTTTAAAAGCTACAAACAGGAGGATTTAGAACAGCAACCCACCTTCTTAAAAGGCTCTGGTTTCTCATCCCCTTCACAGCCGTCCTCCAGGAGTGGATGTAACGTCTGCAGTAAGAAAGCAATATTATGACAATTATGCAGTGATCAAGAGAACAACTCTATAAACACTGATTTACAGGATAAACACTTACATGATCAGGCTCAATGGCTGGTAATGTTCATCAACAGAATTTTAATATTTGGTCTTTATACTGACCCAAATTAAAACAAAGTTACTCAGAACTGTGAGAGATGTGGATTCCAAACTTATTCCAATTTTGATTCAAATTCATATTCAACTTTTGTTCAACTAAGAATCATTGATTAACTATATAACATTTTGCAGAAATACATTCTCTCTGACAAATAGATTTGTTACCTTGAGGGGCATACGTGGCGAGTCCTCTGCTAGGCCGACCTCATCCAGGACAACAACAGACACAAACCTGCTCAGGTCCTTATCTCTCTGGAACTGGGCACACTGTCGGAACATTCCAGAAATACCTTGGGGGGTAGACAGCGGACTGCACTGATATGACATCATTTGGACCTTGTAGCAAAGTATCGATAAATATAATTTGTTTTCCTTCACGTATACCCAAAACAAATATTATCAACTGTTCTATGGATGTCCTGCATCGACACCAAATATCTTGTAAAGAAACCCTATCATTACTGATAGAACTGATAAAGCCAGGTTTGTTAAAATCCAGGCATAGCACGATGAATCCATGTAGAGAAACTGTGAGTGAGCTCACAAAACCAAACCCACCACTTGCGCTTACACTGGAGCAGAAATTAAAGTTTGAAGGCAAAACTGTGTCTAACGAAAGTGTTATGCAAGACACATATCATTGTCATATTTTAAAAATAAACTTTTCCGTCACCGACTGAAATGTTGACACTTCCCCATAGTATCAATCAATACAATTCTTGTACAAATTAAATATTTTTATAAATTAAGAAGAAGAGAAATAATAAAATAAAAAACTTGCCTCCTTGTAGCCACGGAAGAGGTCCGTGTGCGCTGCATGTCCTTGCATGGCATTACCCACGACAGTTTTCGCCAGTGATTTAGAACTCCCCGGTTTGCCGACCAGGAACAATGGTATCCTCAGTTCTATACAAGTCACCATCATGAACACGTTTTCCTTCAGTGCTTGATTGTGTGCTATATTCTTTCCAAGCTCTACATTTGTTAAAAATGCATCTTGACATCTTTCTATTTCTTCCAACATTTGCTGAGCCGGGTGGGCACCTGGTATTTGGCATGGAGGAGTAAAGAGGGGTGCCACAGCCTTCCTGTATTCCTCCCTTTTTTTCAGACAGGCATGGTAACATACTCCTAAAGCCAACAGCAATGACCTTGCTATGTCACTGATATCCTACAAAGACATTTGACATCAAACTCTAATACACTCTCTTCTACCTCTAGCACGGGAACTGCTTCGATTTTATTACATTACATTTCTGGTACATTTTTTATTTTCTGTTTTACAAAATTCAAAATGTAATTATATGAAATTACTTCCCTTACTTCTAACTTCAAGCTAAGCAGGTTCTTATTTCTACAATATATATTTCTATAACATACCTGCGATTGGTTTTGTTCATCATCTTCCATCTCATCTTCATCTGAATTTTCTTCTGAGCTCTTATTTAACAAGTCAAACAGGGCAGAGTCTCCCTGACTCTGGTTGTAAAACCAGCTCATCACTTCAAGTACCCTCTCCACGTCTCGTAAGCTTACAAAGCTACACTCATCCTGAAA